AAAATTTTGTACGTGTATTCTACTCTTTAGATACATCTTTCTCCTGAATGGCATATGGCTAGGTCATGTGGCTATGCGCCCATGGGGTGGGGGCTTCTAACCTCATTAATATGCATAACTGCTATTTCTCAAGCACTGTTGTAGTTACACATGTAGGAAGATGATTCCTGTGTTATCATGACAACAGTGAACAAGAGATTTGATTAAAATAACAGATGACCATTTATGGTCATATGAACTCATTAATATGCATAACCATCATATCTCAAACACTGTTGCAGTTAGGAAGATGAATCCTTTGTCATTATGACAATGTTGAACATGAAATTTGATTAAAAGAACAGATGACCATATATGGTCATGTGATTTCATTAATATGCATAACCATTATATCTCAAACACTGTTGTAGTTAGGAAGATGAATCCTGTGTTATTATGACAAGAGTGAACAAGATATTTAATTAAAATAACAGATGACCATATATGGTTATGTGAACTCATTAATATGCATAACCATTATATTTCAAACACTGTTGCAGTTAGGAAGATGAATCCTGTGTTATTATGACAACTTTAAACAAAAGATTTTATTAAAATAACAGATGACCATATATGGTCATGTGAACTCATTAATATGCAAAGCAGTCATATCTAAAACACTGTCGCAGAGCAGGACATGTAACTAGTGTCATTATAAAGACATTGAATGAAAGATGTAACTGACATTAGAAATGGCTATATATGATTATGTAATCTCATTATTGTGCATAACATGGCTCATTATATATCTTGAAAACCATATTTCGATAACCAAACCAGGTAAATACATGGTACCAACTTCATTTCGACCTCATGTTACTGATAATTCAAGCTACCTGATTGTCTAACATGTGACCTCATTAATTATGAAACAGAATCTTGTCAGCTTGCGCCCCGGTGACGCCGCTTGCGGCTTTAATATTTTATTATTATTATTAGTAAATGTTCTACCCGCAAAAATGATTTCATTTATTTTATTATTTACCTTGATGTAGTGGATGATTAACTTCAATTATTGGTAATTCTTTCTTAATATATATCTGTGATAGAAATAAACTCAAAGGGTAGTTTGTTAGTCCCTGTTCGGACGCGTCTGTGTGTCCGTGCTTCTGTGCCTGTGTGCGTCTAGACCTGTATCTTAGAAATGCCTGGACCAATCACAATCAAACTTCACACATACATCATACATGACATTATACATATGCACATTAATTTGTTTCACGATCTGATTTAAGATGCCTGAATGGCAGCAATTTTTGTACTAAAAAATCATCAAAATTAAGCATATCTCGACTGTTAACGGATGGATTTTGTTCAAACTTGGTTATATATATTGGACATTATAGGAGCTTGATGCACATCATTTTGTTTTTCAGATGAGATTCAAAATGGCCGACTGGCGGCCATTTTGTTTTAATGAATGTGGTTCTAGTGCCATATCTCTGACTTGCCTCGACTGATTATGCTTAAATTTTAAATATTTATTCTGATCTGTCATAGAGATACAGATATAGTAGTTTGACGATCCTATTAACAATGGCCAAATGGTGATCATTTTTGTGCTAAGAAATCATAAAATATCAAGCATTTCTGGCGTTTATGGATGGATTTCGTTCAACTTATTACATACGTTAGACATTACGGGTTCCTGATGCACATCATTTTATTTTTCAGATTGGATTCAAAATGGATGACTGGCGGCCATTTTGTTTTAATGAATGGGCTTCTAGGACCATATCTCTGACATGCAATTTTATATATTCATTATACATTATGTTATAGATATATACATGTATTCAAAATGGCTGATTTTGTTTTAATTAATGCTGTTCCAGAGCAATATCTCTCAAATGTCAATCATTCTAATGTGAAACAATCATCATAATAATATTCCTGACATGGTTATATTCCAGCTATATTACTATAAACAAAACTATATATCTTAAATGTGATAACTAACGAGGACTGATCCATGCATGGCTTGTTTAGAACAAAATAAAATCATGACCTTGATCTGAATCAGTGACAGAAATGAACCACAGTCTGGTTTTTGTTTGGTTTTATATGAAAACAAAATCTTGAAAACCAGTGGTCAGAAATGTTATATCTTTAAACTATAAAAATTGCATTCCATTATTAAGCGCCATCACAGAAATACCTATTCACAAATTTGAAGATCAGTGAAAAGACTTTGCAGTTACTGTTTATAAATCTTGGCCAGGCACATTGACACACGTGGTCTAAATATAGCTTCAGTTGTCAGCAGTGAGTGGATAAATGGGTCATACCATTAGGAATCTCAATACTAGATTACATAAAATCACTTTATGATGAGTTGTACCCACATAGAGGACATATTAATTCAACTGTTTGCTGATGTATTATTTTAACATGAGTATTTTATAACTAAATGTGACTGTGACATTCATGTCTTGTTAATTATTATTCTAAGACTGAGACAAATACTTGTGAGGGGGTGGGGGTGGGGAGGTACTGTTTGTCATTCAAGGGGTGAGGAAAGCATAAGGGTAGGTTAAATTGTCGTCTCTATTACACAGTCAAAATATTTATTTGTTAGTTGTATTTCTTCTTGAGAATATCAGTTTGCAGTTTGTTCATATCCCTAATCAACCAACTCTCATCTCACTATAAATAGCTCACATAACTAAATGTGACTACGATAATTGTGAATGCTTATTTTGTATAATATTTTTCAATGGTGAATGGTGTATCTGGAAATTTCAAGCAATTCAAAACCAATGAATACAAATACAAATGAACACACCAGCATCTTATTTCAGATTAATTTTCTTCTTTCCGCAGGTAGTGATGTTACTTTTAGAACGAAACGCACAACCTGAACTTGAAGATTCTGAAGGAAGGTCTGTATAGGGAATTTAGAAAACTATTCAATCAACTCAATCTTGAAGAAAATCCAATTAACCTGTTAAACACTGAAAACGATGCAATAGCTGTCACTGGCTATTTAAATCATTCTAGTTCCCATGGTGATGGATGTAGAAGAAGTTGATGTTGTTTAAGTTTGAGAGTACATCAACCACTTGTATTTCACTAATTGTATTTATTTACTGATGATAATTCAGAAAGTGATACTGCTACGAAACTACTTGACTAATCTTACATAAAGTCAATTCGGCAACTTGTGTTATTTCTAAAAGATTTTATCATTATGTATTTTTTTAAATAATTGAAGCCTGTTTCTTGATGGTTTTTTGATTCCCATTTGGACACTGTTTGCAAATGAGTGCTTATGGATTGACACCTGTACCTGTGTACACTGTGTACCCCTGGTATATTATGTACATGCCTGGGTTAATGATATTCAAACTTCTCATACCGGTATACGCCATACATCTGGCCAAATAGCAAACAATTTCATACTTAAAATTCAGCAAAATCAAGCATTTCTCCTATTCCAAAACCAGATTTTAGTCGTATATGGAAAGATTATATTCTAACTTGGGGCATCCATTGAATTTAATAAAACCTTGATGCATGTCATTTTTTCAATATACCAGTATTGGCTTACAAATTGGAGACTAGC